ACTCACTGACATCGAACTACGTCAAAGACAATCACATTGAGAATGAACTCCATCAAAATCCATCTCATTGAGGACAAATTCTAACAAAAACAATCTCATTAACAACGAACTAGATCAAAGACAATCTCACTGACAACCAGTTAGGTCAAAGATTCACTCAGAATGAACTAACTCAAAAACAATCTCAATAAGAACGAAATGGAACAAAAACAGTTTCACTGAGAACGAACTAAATGAGAGAGAGAGAGAATGTCTGAAAGTGACTAAGTCAAAAACAATGAACGCGGTCAAAGATAATGTCACTGAGAACGAACAAAAACACATGCAATCTCTCTGAGAACGAATTAAAACAAAAGAAAAATCTCTCCGAGAATGAACTAAGTCAATGTTAATGTCAAAGACAACGAACTAGAACAAACACAATATATCTGAGAATGTATTAAATAAAATACAATCTCACTAAGAACGAACCTGGTCAAAGTTAATGTCATTCAACTTAAAAGAAATTAGAACAATGACAATCTAACTGGAAACGAACTAGGTAAAAGTAAAGCTCACGGAGAACGATCTAGATCAAAGAAAATTTGACTGAGAACGACGAATGTCAAATTCAGTCTCATTTAAAATGAACTACATGAAATGCAATCTCAATGAGAAAGAAATAGGTCAAAGTTAATGTTACTGACAACGAACTATAAAAAAATCTATCTGAGAACGAACTAGATAAAAGACAGTTTCAATTAGAATGATCTAGATCAATGATAACATCTCTGAGAACGAACTAGATCAAAGACAATCTATCTGAGAACGAACTAGGTAAAAGACAGTTTCAACTAGAATGATCTAGATCAATAATAACATCTCTGAGAACGAACTAGATCAAAGACAATCTATCTGAGAGCGAACTAGGTAAAAGACAGTTTCAATTAGAATGATCTAGATCAATGATAACATCTCTGAGAACGAACTAGATCAAAGACAGTCTATCTGAGAACGAACTAGGTAAAAGACAGTTTCAATTAGAATGATCTAGATCAATGATAACATCTCTGAGAACGAACTAGATCAAAGACAATCTATCTGAGAACGAACTAGGTAAAAGACAGTTTCAATTAGAATGATCTAGATCAATGATAACATCTCTGAGAACGAACTAGATCAAAGACAATCTATCTGAGAACGAACTAGGTAAAAGACAGTTTCAATTAGAATGATCTAGATCAATGATAACATCTCTGAGAACGAACTAGATCAAAAACAATCTTACTGAGAACGAACTAGGTAAAAGACAGTTTCAATTAGAATGATCTGGATCAATGATAACATCTCTGAGAACGAACTAGATCAAAGACAATCTTACTGAGAACGAACTACATAAGAGACAGTATCATTGAACGTGAAGTATATCAAAAACAATCTCGCTGAGAATGTGCTAGATCAAACACAATATCACTCAAAAAGAAAATTTCATCGAGAACGAAGTATATCAAAGTCTCATGGAGAAGAACTAAGTCAAAAACATCAAGATCAATGACATTCTCACTCTAATTGAACGTGAAGTATATCAAAAACATCAAGATCAATGACATTCTCACTCTCATTGAGCATGACGTAAATGTAAGATAATCTCACTTAGAACGAACTGGGTAAAAGAACGGCTCACATGAAACGAACTAGGCAAAAGAAAATTTGACTGAGAAGGATCTAGATCAAACACAAGCTCCTGAGAACGATCTATGTCAAATTCAATCTCATTTAGAACAGACTTATGGAAAGGCAATCTCACTGAGAAAGAACTAAGTCAAAATTAATGTCACTGACAATGAACTAGAACAAAAAATCTAACTGAGAACGAACTAGATCAAAGACAATCTCACTAAAAAAAATATTGTTCAAGTTTGAGCTTTTGATTTATAGGTTTCTATATAGAAGGTTATAATGTTAGTCGTTTTCAGAAACTATTTTAGTGTTAAGTAGTGTTATGTGAAAATAAAGGGTTTATAGGACGCATTTCAACAAGTTTGCATGAAGAATACTTATTAAAGATAATATTTTTATTAGGGTATATTTCTGTTGACCTTATTTTTATAGTTGTTATCAACGTAGAATTAGGAGATTCTAAAAATAAAGTTAATGTTCTAAATGTTACCACCACTCAATCATCCCATAATTTAAAGTAAACATTGAGTGGTGGTAACATTTAGAACATTAACATCCCATAATTTCAGCATGAAAGTTTACAGAAAAAAAAACACACACAGTGAAAACTACGTTAACTGGTTTTCCAATCAATACACAGTAAACTAGGTACACTAAAAGGTTTAATTCATTTAGCCTACACTATATGCACCAGGGGTAACATCGATAAAGATAATACATACCTAACCAGATGTTTTACAGGCCCAAACAAGTTTCCCATTAGAACAGTTTACCCTCATTCACTCAACACTCCACAAAACAACATAATAAAAACAGGCCCAAACAAGTTTCCCATTAGAACAGTTCACCTTCATTTGTACCCTCATTCACTCAACACTCCACAAAACAACATAATAAAAACAGGCCCAAACAAGTTTCCCATTAGAACAGTTCACCTTCATTTGTACCCTCATTCACTCAACACTCCACAAAACAACATAATAAAAACAGGCCCTAACAAGTTCCCATTAGAACAGTTCACCTTCATTCACTCAACACTCCACAAAACAACATAATAAAAACAGGCCCAAACAAGTTTCCAATCAGAACAGTTCACCCTCATTTGTACCCTCATTCACTCAACGCTCCACAAAACAACATAATAAAAACATCACTGGCACAATTTCATTCATTGAAAACCTAAACATTCCCCTTAATGAAATATGGCAAAGACTAATACATAATATTCAACATAAATATCCATACAAGATTTGTGTTCACCCCAAAAACAAAAATGAAACACATGCTAAGACAGATGTGTAATTAACCTCCACAACCAGGAACCATATACAAAAGACAATGTAACAAACGTTCTGGTTCCTATACAGGTGAAACTGGGCATAAATTCAACAAAGAGATAAAAAAAAACTCCTTTTACATGTAAAATACCAGATGCAATATCAATACCTCACATTTTCAGAACATAATGTCTCTGTATTAAAACATGAACCTGATACAAACAAAAGGAAACCAGTGGAAGCCCTGCGAATTAAAACACATAATTAACATTGAAATAATATTTATTGTTATTTAATATTTATTAATAAACATTGAAAGGAAATATCTTTACTTTTTCTAACTTCTGAAAGTTAACTTATAAAACAAACTATCTACTCACATCTTCATGTATTCATGTAAGTAACTTCATCTTTTGTACCAAATTTACTATTATCACCTTAGTATATGATTTTCCACGAATCGTTTAAAGGTTATTCGTTTTTACTTTTACACGTTCATTGTCTATCTTTCTATTAGTATTATAAGGATATTACAATGTAATTTGTCCTGTGTTGTACTTATTAAAATATTAAAAAAAAAAATCATTACCTTGTCAACGAATTGAATATTGTTACTTTTAATATAAACTGTAAACCATTAAATTACCTTTGTTTGCATGATGTTCAAGGCAATAATACCACCAACTTCTGAAGCTAACGATAATACTGTAAGGAATAGGAACTGGAAAAAAGGTAATTAATTTTATTTATAGAAAATACTAGATCCTAAAAATTGCTAACGATAATACTGTAAGGAATAGGAACTGGAAAGAAGGAAATTAATATTATTTATAGAAAATACTAGATCCTAAAAATTGCTAACGATAATACTGTTAGGAATAGGAACTGGAAGTATACAGTATATTCTCAAATAGTGCTCTTAAGTTTTAACTTTTATAATCAAAATTTATGAAAATAAATTTCAAAGTTAATGTTTCCATGCTCAACCAGAAGTGATGATTTTTTCTCCGAAACCGGGCAGATTTGACTGTATGACATGGATCCCCACTCCCTCGAGCACCAAACCCCGATTTTAGCGTTATAAGTCTGCAAGGTTATTGCTGAGCCATCGGTTGGAAACATTAATCTTATAAAAAAGTTATAAGAAATGTATACTGAGTAAAAAAAAAGTACTTTTTTAAATTTACAGTGTATGTCTATATATGGCTAAAGGGTGTTCCACAAATGTATAAATTAAGGGTGTTTTTCTCATTAACAGATAGTTATACTGTAATTCTAAGTTTAACATCATTATAATAACATTAAATTAATGTTTTATAGGGGTAACTACCATACCCATAAATTAATGTTTTATAGGGGTAACTACCATACCCATAAATTAATGTTTTATAGGGGTAACTACCATACCCATAAATTAATGTTTTATAGGGGTAACTACCATACTCATAAATTAATGTTGTATAGGGGTAACTACCATACCCATAAATTAATGTTGTATAGGGGTAACTACCATACCCATAAATTAATGTTTTATAGGGGTAACTACCATACCCACAAACGACTGAGGCAGTGAGGTTTCGGACGTTGTAGGTTCTAACACCGAAACTCTGGCTTCTATTTGATTTTCCCTGCTAGTTATTTTTATCCTCATTTTTCATAGCCAGGGAATCCCAGCGCCTCTGAGAGATATTGAGGCAAATATTTTCCTTTACAGTAATACCATTTGTTCTTTCCTGGTGTAGGTGGCCTCGTTATTATGGCGCTCGACTCGCACATTAAAATCCCATTGCTGAACCTGCTCGCGCTTTCAGCCTTAGGAGCGTTATAATGTGACAGTTACTCCCACTTATTTTATTAAAGTGGCTCAAGAGTTGGTGGTGGGTGGTATTGACTATCTGCCTTCCCTCTACTCTATCACTTCTAAATTAGGGACGGCTAACGCAGATAACCCTTGAGTATCTATGCGCGAAATTAACCAAACAAACAAACGATCCTAACCAAATGGTATAATTTTTAATTATCTTGTTGTTAGCGCAATGGTTTATGACATTTTGTGTTTGAATAATTAACCTAACAAACAAACAAACGATCCTAGCAAATGGTATAATTTTTAATTATCTTGTTGTTAGCGCAATGGTTTATGACACTTTGTGTTTCAATAATTAACCTAACAAACAAACGATCCTAGCAAATGGTATAATTTTTAATTATCTTGTTGTTAGCGCAATGGTTTATGACACTTTGTGTTTCAATAATTAACCTAACAAACAAATGATCCTAGCAAATGGTATAATTTTTAATTATCTTGTTGTCAGCGCAATGGTTTATGACACTTTGTGTTTGAATTTTGTTACCGCTAAACATTCTAACATTTTGATTTATAAAAAGCATTTTCAAAATTTGCCTTAAGTTTCGTTTTGCTATATACAGTATATACAAAACAACATTATAATAAGACTGGAAAATCAAATCTATTCTTAAGTTACCATCTTAAGTTGTCATCTTTAAGTCGTAACGGATAATGTCTGTGGCCATAGCGCCCAAACGCGTTGGGGATATTCCATCTATCAGACAAGTTACAGATACCAATGTCCAACTCGCCAGCAACTAAGGAGAATCAGTTAAGTGTTAGGAGTTGAGTGCTTTAACCCACAACGTCTCAACTCCTACTGCCTTTCGCTGTCTGCAGTTACCCTTAATATTTAGATATAACCTTCAGTTTGAATAACTGTACGTAAAGAGCTCTTCACAAAATATAGCAATGAACATCATCAACAACAACAACAAGTATGTCTTCTTACCAAATTCAACAAACATCCTCCTCGTCTATACGATCCGACCCAACCTAACAATCCTGTTTGACCACAGAAAAACAATATATTATAAGGTTACTAGACATCAAGAAAACGTTACACATCTTTAGTGAGATTTAACCTTCTATTTGATGATGTTTTCCGTATATTAATTAAAAATGTGATGTATATCATAACAAACTGAACATCAACAAAATGACTGTTAATATTACTATTATTAATTATGTGTATCATCTTAATCCTGTTGTCAAGGTAACATACGTGATATTGTTTTTACACCTCACTTAAGATATGAAATAAAGAAGTTTTACATTTGGTCATAATAATAATTCTCTCCATTACTTTTTTTTGTACTTGCCGCCGTTGCCCATGCGCAATGCTTTCAAATATTCCAAGTAATAAATTTCAATTACTTTAATCCTAGGTTTAGAGGAAATCTACTTGGACGATTCTGGGGGTCGAGGGGGTTATCTTGTAAGGATAGGGGCAGATCTCTTTGGAAAGACAAAGAAGGGTAAAAGGTTTGTTTGTTTGTTTGTGATTAAGCACAAAGATATACAATGGACTATATGTACTCTGCCCACCACGAGTATCGAAACCTGGATTCTAGCGTTGTAAGTCCGCAGACATACCGCTGTGCCACTCGGGGGAGGGGCGGGTAAAAGGTGATCTTATTGGAGTTTATAGTATCCTCCGAGGGATCGATAGGATAAAAGCCCCGGGTTTCTTCGTGCTGTATTCTGAAGAAAAATAGGACGAGAAGAAACCTTAACTTCCTGTTTTATTATTCCAACAGGTTGTTTGGGTTATGGAATGAACTTCCGTCCACGAGTATCGAAACCCGGATTCGTGCATGAATTGAAGAGGTCAATCGATGATTTCGTTGGAGATAAAAGGTGAGTTTATTATTTACCAATTTGATGGTTTTCTTAAAGGCCACGAGCGCAGTTGGAACTGATAGGAGGGGCAGCTAGTCAACAGCACCCACCATCGACTCTTGGGGTACTTTGTGTGACCCACGAACTTAAGTTGAGGAGCGCGTTTTTATGGGAATGGGACGCGAACGATGAATTTAATTCTTAGAAGGCGTCCAGAGACAGCCTTGATTAACCTAATTCTCCCTTGTTGTTCTCTTGTATATTTTGCTTAAATCTTAATACTAAGTTACTGAGTTAATTATTTCCTTACGAAAAGGCTTGGCAATTTTTCAAAATATTTATTAGGTAAGTGGCTATTAAAATATATTATTCTCTGTACTAATATCTTGGTTGTTCGAGCCTTTATTGACATAACGCTTTATGTGAGTTCAAACCAAATAAAAAAAAGGTAAAAACACTTTTCCGTATCAGTAAAAAATAATATATTTTCCGTGAATACAGTTATATTGATAAAATAATGTAACACTTTTAATTGTTGCTACAATACTCCAATAACGTGAAAAATGTATATACTTAACTTATAGAGACACTGTATGGTATTATGATATGGTGCTTGTAAAAGAAAAAGTTTAGAATTTGATCGAAAATATTTGTCATCTATAGCAATGGTTCACAAACTGGGATAAGCCGATCAAAATGGGCACGCGAACTGGTCTTAGGGGGCTCTCAGCACGTGTAAAAACATTCTCTTTCAAACTTCCTTGAAATTGGAATGCAAAATGGTCTTGGGGGAGGGCTCAGCATATGTAAGAACGTTCTCTTAAAAACTTCCCTGAAATTGGACAAAGTAATATTTTCATTGGAAAATTTTTATTGCAGTAAAAATGTCTACATAACGTAGTTTATGTTATTCTAGTAAATATGTCTACATAACGTAGTTTATGTTATTCCTAGTAAATATGTCTACATAACGTAGTTTATGTTATTGTAGTAAATATGTCTACATAACGTAGTTTATGTTATTGTAGTAAATATGTCTACATAACGTAGTTTATGTTGTTGTAGTAAATATGTCTACATAACGTAGTTTATGTTATTCTATTAAATATGTCTACATAACGTAGTTTATGTTATTGTTGCAAATATGTCTACATAACGTAGTTTATGTTGTTGTAGTAAATATGTCTACATAACGTAGTTTATGTTATTGTAGTAAATATGTCTACATAACGTAGTTTATGTTATTGTAGTAAATATGTCTACATAACGTAGTTTATGTTGTAGTAAATATGTCCACATAACGTAGTTTATGTTATTGTAGTAAATATGTCTACATAACGTAGTTTATGTTATTGTAGTAA